GAGCTGCGAGATGTGGTTTAGTGCTTGTGGTAGCAGTGGTAATGAGAAGTCGATTGGTCATTTCTAACCTTGTGATTCTATGATTCTATGATTTCTAGAAAGGGACTTCAAAACATGCCAGCCACAGTGATTTGGAACCTATGTGTGTTTAGGAGTACAAGTGTTCATAGCAGATCATGAGTGAGAGTGATGCTCTAAGCATACTGTTTCCATTCCATCTGCTGGGGGTGCTGGTGTGTACTGTGCTTCCTTCTGAATATAACCAGGGGCACGGCATGCTTCTGTTCTGTGGTTTATCGGTTGCCTGCCTTGGCCTGGACAGTTCATCACTCACGTTACAGAACTACAGGTTCCAACTGATGGAGTTATTTTTAAAATTAGCAGTCACATTTTTAGATATATTTCATAGCAGCATATTAGAGAAGACACAGGCTGTTAAGGGTAGGAGGACATCCTGGGGAAGTATTGCTATGTATGTGCTGTTCTTCTCTGCTTGTTTGCTTTTGATCATTCTTAGGGAGCCAGTACCTTTGATCTGACACTCTACAGATGCTATCATGTGTCAAGGGATTGCAATCTTCAAGTGCAGATTGGCTGTGAAAAGTACCTTCTTCAGTAGCTGAAATCCAGAAAGACTAATAACGCTAGAATATTGACTTTATTTGTTGAATGGAGTGTTAAAGGATAGAAGAATTAAGTGACTGTCTTTTAAGCTTTTCTCTTAATACTGAGAAATTTTAAAATTATTTCTTTAGAATCATAGCATGATTTGGGTTGGAAGAAACCCAGACTACCCACTCCACCTAGCCTTGAACACCTCAAGGGATGGGGCATTTACAACTTCTCCAGACAAACTGTTCCAGTGCTTCACCATCCTCTGAGTGATAGATTTCCTCCTAACAGCTAACCTAAATTTCCTGTCTTTTAGTATAAAACCATTCTCCCTGTTCTGTGAACACCATACCCGGGAGCCATTCTCTTCTCCAGGCTGAATGAGCCCAGCTCCCTCCACCTTTCTTTGTAGGGGATTTGTTCCAGCTCTCCAGTCATTCTCATGGCTCTCCTTTGAACACTTGTCAGCGATCTGTATCTTTCTTCTGCTGTGGGCCTCACACCTGAGGCCTCAGCCCTCATGAGTGCAGAGTAGATGGGGACGATCCCTCACTATTCTGGCCACCTCTCTTCTGATGCAGCTCAGGATACTACTGGCTGTCCAGACTGCAAGTGCACACTGCTGGCTTGTGTCCAGCTTTTCATCTGTGAGGACCCGCAAGTCCTTTTTGGCAGGGCTGCTCTCAGTGACTGCTTCTCCCAATCTGTACAGATCTGGAACCAATCCTAAGTGTAGCATCTTGCACTTAGCAAGATGGTTCATTAGGTTCATGTGAGTCCTCTTCCCAAACCTGTCCAGGTCCCTCTGGATTGCATCTCTTCCTTCTGTTACATAAACTGCTGCTGAGCTCAGTGTACTCTCTGTGTCAAAAGACACTGAAAGCACACTGCTGTGGTAGTGGCTGAGCTGAACCACACACTGTCTTCAGTAACTATCTAAATACAGAACTGTTTGAGAATGGTTGCTCATTTGCAGTGCACTGTTGAGTGTACATGGAGAGCTTACTACCTTTCAGTGATTAGCTTCTTATTTTGTGAGTGATTGTAAAAATGCAAATGACTTATTTTTTTATATTGGCTCCGCAACATATTTTAACTATTGAAACTCAGCAAATATTGACTGACCAATTCGTATATCCACTGGTTTTAAAGTAGTGTATATATCTCAAAATAAAACTAAATTAGCTGAGGTTCAATTGTCCTTTTTGACACCACTTTTATGAAGCATGCTAAAATTCACTGTAAGACATCTTTGGCATGTGAAATGCAAGATAAATCATGTGGGTATCTACCAGAAGTAGTAAAGATATCTTCTCAGTGAGAGCAAACAGCTCTTGAAGGTTTTTTTTGTTTTTTTTTTTTTTTTTTTGTTTTGTTTTTTTGTATGAATTTGTCATATTGTGTTTCCATCTAGCTACTTCAACTCGTGATGCCATCTTAATTTTCTTTCCCTTTAAGAGTAACTATTCTTCAATGTCTTTTTGAGGGATTTTTATTGTTTCTTTATTTGCACATTGCGTTGCACAGCTCCATTTTGCCACTAGTAATAGTGATTGTGATAAGGAGAAGCCAACCAGAGACAGAAGTCAGGCTTGTCCTCAAACTGCATCTCCCACTGATGTGGTTGGAACAGAGCACTAGTTTGATGTGTCATTGATCAGACCCTGAAAGGCAGCTATGAATTTATCTGTCCATGCTAAACAGGGAAATATCATACCTGGAAAAATACCTGTCGGCATTAGTACCAGTTGAAGTCTCTGTTAACACTGGACCTTTGAAATAGCTTTGCACTATTAAAAAAGTATTTTAAGTACATAGAAAATGTTCACTAAATCCTACAATTTTGACTTCAAATAAACAACTGTATAATATGTTGGTTTCATTTGTTTCCCACAAAGAATAAAAAGTGTTGGGTTTAGTTTCCAGGCCATTAAGTAGCTTGGATCTTGGAGATGTGTTAACTGGTTTTTTGCATCCATAATTCATAATCAGACACATAAAATGCATCTGATATTAGCTGAAATTTTTGATTCAACATTTTCAAATTTTATGAGGGTGCACAGAGGCTGTGCTGAGAATCATCAGCAATAAAATGTGATCCTTCACAATCGTACAAATCAGAGTTTTATCACTTCTGTAAAACAATTTTTTCCATTGCTACTTCTGTCATAGTGTATGGAATAATTGAAAACAAAGATTGCTGTTTAGTATGCATGTGGTTCTTGTCTGTATACTCAGGCATCTACTGCTGTAACCAAAAGTTTCTATTAGTTAGTAGATACTTAGCAAGTTGCAGAGTTGTTATTGGATTTCTGTCCTATTGATTTTTGCGATCTTTTTGCTCCATAGTGAGTCAGTAGAAGAGTGAAATATCACATGCTGAAAATGTTTCCTGCCTCTCTTGCCCTTCTACATCTTAAAGTGCAAGGCCAGACTTCTGGAGATTCAGTTCCTATCTTTCCTGAATCGGAGATGTAAGGAAACAGGCTTGCAGCTTCTTTTGTTGCTGAGGTGCCTGGTGATTTAGTGAATGTACTAAAATGTGCTAGGAGAAAAATGTGATTGGACACAGAAGTAGATATAGATGTAGATAGTGTTGAAAAATTTTGCAAGTCATGCTAGGAAGTACATGCTGTAAGACTGTTTCTTTTATGTGCCACACTAAAATATTATCTTTTGTGAGATTCTCCTTTAACTGTGAAAATGAGTTAATTAGTGCAACTAGTAAAACATAGTTCATCCTTTTTAAATACGGCAAGTAGAAATTATTCATAGTTGCTGCTTATAACTGGGCTTTTACCATTCAGGAAGAATTCTGAATACGATGTGTGGCTGCAAAGAACATGAGGAAGCCTGTGGTAGCTGTAGGTTACTCATATAACCTTGATGTCCTTCTGTTGTGTACATGCATAATAACCCGATGTCGCTTGTATTTTCTCTATGGGAGCTTTTGTTTCTTTCATCAAATAGTGTGCGTTCTGAATAGGTACATAGTGGATAAGGCTTATTTCTGTAATTGGCTGAAGAGCAAGGAACTTTAGAGAACACTTTCTGGAGTCAGGCTACTGTGAAGATTGTTGTAGGTTCTGATGAAAAATTCTGAAACTTTCTCTGGTAAATGAGTTAAGCCAACAGTGTTGTTACTCTGTATGATTAGTGTGGCATAAAAGTCAGGCACTTTCAGAAGAAATTCTGTCTTCAAGCTCAGGCAGTGCCAGTTTTGGCTACTACACTACCAACATTGATTTCTGTGTCTAGGTTTACTGTGCGTTAGTTCTCTTTCACCTCATGGGCTGCTAAGAAAATGATTGTATTAATGTTTGTAAAACACTGCTAATTTGGTCAGCAATTTAAAGCCTGTCAAGGAATACATACTTCTGCATTCATGGGTGCTAAGGTTAGGCTAGACTGTAGGAATTAGAAGAAGCGATAGACAGGCAGCGTCTGTGCTGCAGTCTAGAGCTGTAATTGCAGTTTATGAAGTTCATCTTAAGAAGTTCGAGCCTGATCAGTGTGCAAATGGGTTTTTGCTGTTTACACAGAAAACAGAAGGCAGCCCATATTTAAAAAAAAATGCAAGACTGTGGAAATTATATATGTGGGCTCAAGTCTTCAATGATGTGACCATGTGATTTATCAGTAGAGGTGGTGATGTTTAAAAACTACCACAAATGTATGTTTTTGCCCTGCAGCACTTCTTATGAGATTATCAAATGATATCTGCATTGTGCAGTGAGACTGGACTGCTTTGGGAGAAAACTGTGAAATTAAGGACACTGCCCTAGTGTGTTTATCATGAGAACAGAGGAAGGTGGCATAGGATCCTCTTTGACTTTTGGCAGGTTGACGCTTGCTGTTAGCGCAATGGTTAGGAACAAACTATCTAGTGATTTACCAGGTACCCATTTACTATAGGTGCTATGCCTGAGAACTGATCATTTATTTGGAATTTTCTGTGTTCTTTGGATAGTGTCCATAAAAGCCAAATACTAGTAATGAAACAGTATAATTTTATAACAGTTATCATGTGCACAAGTGTGTGTTTCTTTGCTTAAATAAATTGGTTTGATCTTCAGTATCTCAAAAGTACTTTTATGTGTTTCCTCATAACTCCACCTTCAGGTAGGGAAGCGCTGTTATACAATTGTGTTTTACGGGAGGGAAACTGGAGAACACAAACTGATATTAATTAATCTGGCAATTGAAAATAACAGGGCATGAGATCTCTTTCAGTCATAGCTTTGTGTTTGGTTCTCTGACATTTCTCTGTTTGCTTCAAAGCGACAATGGTGTGGCTAAGTCACTTCAGTGTTAAGTGTTAATAGGTGCTCTTTGTAACTGTAAAGCTTTTTTTGGTTTGTTTCTCATGATTTTTGTTTTGCTTTCAGATGTGGTGAAGAGCCTCTGTTTTCATCTGTACAGTTTATAGTGCCTTAAAGATGGGGTTTGGAAGTGACTTGAAGTATTCGCATGATGCTTTATTAAAACTGCAAGACTGGGAACTACGACTGCTCGAAACGGTCAAGAAATTTATGGTCATGCGTGTAAAAAGTGATAAAGAATATGCCTCCACTTTACAGAATCTTTGTAATCAGGTAGATAAAGAAAGCACTTGTCAATTGGATTATATCAGCAATGTATCCAAGGTAAGACTGAGGAATTATGAGTTTGGAATATCCTTAGAATTAAATATTTGATTTTTGTTTGTTTTGTTTGAGTTGGATTCTTCCTGATTCATCTTCTTGGGAGTTAATGTTTCTGAAGTTTTTAACTGCTTTTAGTTCTTTGCTGGATTGTGGAGCACTTGAACTCCAGTCTTGCTTTGAATTTAGTAAGTAAAATAGAGTCCTAAATTCTGAAATTTTGTGTCTCCATGCTTCACCTCCTTTGTTTTGAAAACAAAATATGTTACAGTGAGCTTTTCTTTTGAGACAGTTAAATGGAAACTATTGTTTATGTTGTATAGAATTTGTGACAGAAATAGAAAAATGCCAGGAAACTTAAGGCAGAGTGTAGCATACCAACTGTTATTCACACCACAGTGTGTGATGTTAAAACAAAAACTTAATTCAGGATGTTCCTTGTACTTGTGAAGTTATTTTCCATCCAATTTACAATAATTTTGTTGATCTTTCTATAAAGTAAGGCTATGTTTTCCCCAAGTTATTGTCAGGCTTGCAGTAAGTACAGTGAAGGTGTAGTTGAAGGAAACTTCCCTGTTCCACCTGCTAGTAACCTTTCCTCTTGATTTCGATTCCTTTCTGACTATAGAACGTAATTCTGTTTTATGGCTTATTCAATTTTTGATCCTTCTGCTGCTGCAGTGCTTACACAGTTCCGTCAGTCTGGCATGAATCCTGCTCTCTGCAGAAGGCTGGTTTGGGGACAAGTTAAATTCTACACAAAGCATTTTTTATGCAGTGTGCTTATGAAGTTGCTGCTTGAGATCAAGTTATGGCATTGCAGCAGGAGCATTAGTGCTCTGTTTGCAGCCGTCTCGATCGGTACTAGTGAAAGTAAAGTGACTGCGGCTTGAAAGCTGCACTGAAGTAGCTAGCTTGCTTCAGCTGCCCTGAAATAGCACTGGGTAGTGTTTATCTGTAATGAATTCTGTTGTTGCCTGCCCCACCCAATATTTCTTGTCTTGTAAGCTGCTGCGCTTGTTCTTTTGTGTTTGTTTTTTTTCATCTATTGCGTTTTGGTGGTATGTTTGAAATGCTGTTCACATAGTTATGTATCTTACCCACAGTTGTGATGATTTTGGTAAATTTACATAAAACTTTTTTCTTCACTGATGGCAAAATCATGTATTTTTTTCAAGCTTTCTGCTGTCAGATCCCAGAGTTTTTACAGAATTACAACAATACTATTAATATTTCTTGCTGTTGCTGCCCCACTGGGATTCTTCTTATGTGGTAGCAAAAAAGCCTTGCAGTGCTTATGGGTAACAAAACAGAGTGGATTCTGGCTAAAATGGTAAAGGAGCACTGGCACCTTCTGAATGCTGAGCATTGCAACCCTTCAGGTTCACCTTCAGGTGATTAGCTCTCTGCTCAGTTGAGCCTCTATAAGAAGTTGAATACGTGTCTTAAGCCATTTTCTATGCAGGTTAAACAGAAGCATTTGTTTCACATTTTTAAGTGCTGTTTTGGATGTTGCTACTCAAGTTAATCTTTCAGGTTACTTTTGTTACTTTCATTTCATTTTTCTGTCGAGGAAGTGCTGTTTTCCTCCTAAGCCTCTGATCTCTGATCTTTCACATAACTACAAAAATATTCATGTAATACTGATAGAGCATTTGCATAGGCTTGCCTTGAAATTAGACTGTCAGCTTGGATTTTATGCTGGCAGAGTGATATATTGTCATATTGCTTTTAGTCGGTAAAATATCTAAGTTATCATTTGATTACTTGAGCTGTTCTAATATACATATTGCTATTTAATTATTCTTTTTGTCTCTTTCTGACATTTTACATAATTAAAATCTGACACAATTTTTGTGGGATGTAAATAGTATCTTATACTTCCTGAATTAAAATACTGTCTCTGCATACTTATGTATGTTTTGTGTGCATACGTGTCTAAAAATGTTTTCTAATCAAACAATGTTATATTTTACAGTTTTTGCTGGATCGTGGGTTTTTATAGGAAAGGAAGTGCTTTGCCTTTCTGATGACTCCACCCAGCTGCTTTTTTGTCCTTTAAATCTTAATTTTTGTAGTTTTTCTCCTATTATAGTCTTTCACCTTCTGCTATTTAAAAACAATAACATTTTACAGAACACAGAAATCTTGTTCAACTAGTGCTTTCTCATCTAAAAAGAGGAATATGAGGAAAGGGAAAATGTGCAAATTATTTTATTTGTTTTTTAAATAGATCACTTTTCTTTTGGTGTCAGTCTTGGGTTAATTTTTAAATAGAAGGACAGGTTTTTGCTAGGTGTCAGACTTACTTGGGCTTGTTTGGTGAATTGTAGGCTATGTATTTCTTTATTGATTGAAACTGTGTTTGTCTGGCAATAAATCACTCAAAGAAATGCATTACTTTTATTACTTTTTCACCTCCGAGAGTGCTATGATGAGCTTTTCTGTAACCACTCTTCTCATATGTATTTTTGATGTTATTTTTATTGTACACAGCTTTGTGACATGGCTTCTGAAGTCATTTGGAAAGTTCTCTGTAAATGGAGAGATAAACACTTTTCAGATGTAATCAGTAATCTTCAGACTCTGAGCTTATTATATAACATCACGCTTAAAGCAGTTATGCCAGTGGTTGCTAGAATTCTTATCAGCTAAAGGAAATATTAAAGATGGTTTACTGCATACAGGAATTAACTGTCTTTCATTTTGTTCTCTAAATTACAGTTGGCTAGCAGCATTGTTGTGTATAAGTATGTATGCATATGTATGTATGTACATGCTCATATAAACATACATATGTATGTTTGTATATGATAAAAAAGGTGAGATCTGCCAAACAAATGGATTTTGTAAGTTTTCACAATACAAGGTGTATTTCTATGTTTAAAAATATCAAGACAAGTGCCATTAAAACTAATGTACCAGCTGCATTCAATAACTGGTAATTGTATTGGAAACAGCCACGCTGAAATGTTAACTGCAGTACAGCAGTCTGTGTTAGTGAGTTATATCTAATGAATCCAATGCTGTTCCTGTCAACAAAGTGTAATGGGCAAGGGTTTTTAAGGGTAACAAATACTTTTATCTGAACTGAACTCTAATTCTTGACTTTTTGTCTGTAGTGCACCAAAAGTGTCTCTGTTCAGCACTCAGTTCTTATCAAAAGCCACGATATGTTAAGCAGTCCTGAAAACAGACTGATGGGATGGCTAAAGAAGTTATTAAAGTAAGGTTGCAAAAAGCCACTTGGTTGCCATGACAGGGAACTTCTAATCTGTTAGCAGCATTACATCACGCTGCTGCTGGTGGCTTGGTGCTGTCAGTTATGTGAAGCAGCTGGCAAATGGTGTTCTCCTGAACAGTAATAATTCAAGTGCTTATCACTGTGAGGTATTTAGACCAGGACAAAGAAGTCATTTATCGATCAGAGTAAATGATCAGGTGGTGGGAAAGCAAAGAGCACAGGAATGTGCTTGTCAGATGTGTTGAAGATGTGATCTGAAAAAAGCTGTAGAGCTTTCATGAGTGTTCAGAAGTGCAAAGAGTACTCTGTGGAGTGACTGTGTGATGCTGTGTTTTTCTCCCTGGTGCTTTTTTTATGAGTTTACGACTAAGTTCACTGCATGATTTTGTTACAGGAGAAGGAATTTTTGTGGAAGATCTCAAGTGAATTTGGGAAGTTCAGTTTTTATTTGTTGTTGTTTATTTGTTTGTTTTTAACTGAATGCATCTTTTACCACAACCCATTTTCATTGTTTAGTTATTTGTAAGCTAGAATAAGTGACTCTTCTCTCCTGATTTTATTTTATTTTTTTATAGTCTTGGTTGCTCGTAGTACAACAAACAGAACAGCTGAGCAAAATAATGAAGACACATGCAGAAGATCTTAATTCTGGGCCTTTACATAGGCTTACAATGATGATCAAGGACAAACAGCAAGTGAAGAAGAGTTACATAGGGGTTCATCAACAAATTGAAGCAGAGATGTACAAGGTATTTTATTCAAATGTTCTTCGTAGATTTACTGAAATTTTGTGTACTTAAAAAAATAACATTGAGCATTTTTTTAGATTTTGTTTTTGTTTTTTGCTATTGTAAAAGTGGTATCTAGGCTGCCTAGCTCAAATGTTAGTTGCTTCCTATATGTTTTCTCATTGCTGCTACCTGACAAGGGAGAAGAGGAAGTCTTTCTTCTGTATGAATTGATTTGGTCAGATAGTGTAGGAAATGCTCCTCGCAGATGATTCTCTGTTCCATCTTTTTTACTTTTCTCATTTTGCTGTAGACATCCACTGAAAGCTTTTATTATTGAGTGATTTTGGCAGCCTGGACTGTTTTGGGTGGGGATGGGATTCTAATCCTTATTCTAAAATATAAGTCAATTGTAAACCAAATATTAAGTCTGTAGGTGGAGGTCTTCAGGACCCTTTCTATTGTCAGTTGTGCCTGTGATATTGACAGCACTGTGTCTTGTCAGTAAAGCTGACAGAAATCTCAGTTTAATTCAGATGCTCTGGTGTAGGATTAACTGCAAATGTGAAGAAACTGATTGGTAGTCTAAAAGGTCTCACAAGAAAAGCACTGTTTCTTTCTTTTAGCAGAGATGTAGAGATCTGGAGTAGCATAAAATATAACGTACGAGTAACGTTGTACAGATATCGCAGACTAGTGAGAAAAAGATTCTCGGGCAGGTAATGAGAATAACCTTACTCTAGTACTGAACATACATCATGTTAACTGTTTGGCTTTAGTAGGACTGCTTCCATAATCTCTTGGGAGTTTGGCATCTTCCCTGGGTATTAACTGTGGGAAGTACATCATTTTTAATGCATGTTTGGTAGAGATTGTCTTACTTGATAGAGTTGCTAAGCCAAATAATCACTCACAGGCACTTATGGATTAGTGCATCTGGAAATGCTCAGGATCAAAGGTGGAGAAAAAGTGTTGTGATAAACTTACAAAGAACTTGAGAAATGGAAAAAGAAAGAAGATAACAATGAAGAAATTAGGGATAGCAAAAACAAGATTGCTGGGTATGCATATATATGCTTTTAAAAGAGCCTGTATTAAACATGCTTTTTTTTCTTTTTAAGTTCACTCTTATAAAACGCTTTTTAAAAGAAAGAGAGTAAGACTTCTTCAACAAAATATAAAGTAGACTAAACACTCCACAAATTTTTAATTACAGGCTATATTGATTTTAATCATAAGGTGAACAAAATGCATGATTGTGCAAGTTTTTTTCACAGAATCACAGATCACAGAATCACAGAATCACCCGGGTTGGAAGGGACCTCAAGGATCACGTAGTTCCAACCCCCCTGCCTAGCAGGGCCACCAAACGTACACATTCAGATCAGGTTGCCCAGGACCCCGTCCAACCTGGCCTTGAACACGTCCAAGGACAGGGCATCCACAACCTCCCTGGGCAGCCCGTTCCAGGGCCTAACCACTCTCCTTGTGAAGAACTTCCCTCTAACATCCAACCTAAATCTTCCCTCCTTCAACTTGGATCCATTTCCCCTAGTCCTGCTGTTGTCAGCCCTTCTGAAGAGTTTACTCCCCTCCTGGGTGTAGGTTCCCTTCAGGTATTGATAGGCTGCAATGAGGTCACCCCGCAGCCTTCTCTTCTCCAGGCTGAACAAGCCCAACTCCCTCAGCCTGTCCTCATAGGGGAGGTGCTCCAGCCCCCTGATCATCTTAGTTGCCCTCCTCTGGACCCTTTCCAAGATCTCTATGTCTTTCTTGTACTGAGGGCTCCACACCTGGACACAGTACTCCAGATGGGGCCTCACAAGAGCCGAGTAGAGAGGGACAATCACCTCCCTGTCCCTGCTGACCACCCCTCTCCTGATGGAGCCCAGGATCCCATTTGCCTTTCGAGCTGCCAGAGCACACTGCTGGCTCATGTTCAGTCTCTCGTCCATCAGGACCCCGAGGTCCTTCTCTGCCGAGCTGCTCTCAAGGCCCACTCCTCCCAGCCTGTACGGGTGCCTGGGGTTCTTCCGGCCCAAATGCAAAACCTTGCACTTTGCCGTGTTGAACCTCATTAGGTTCACCCGAGCCCAGCCCTCCAGCCTGTCGAGGATTAGGATTTCCATCCTAATGAATAAACTTGCACTAATTTTTATACCCCTTCTTTTCCCACTGCTTCCTTCTGCCTTCGTGGCTTTCCTAAGAAGCACTTGGATAAAGTTTTGGTTAGATGTGGTATGTTCTTTCTTTGTTAGCTGACATTATTTATTCAAAGGTTCTACGTCAGTGGAACACTTCCAGAATGGTTCCCAGAAATCCCGAACACTTTTTGTGTTCTGTGGCATTAGATCTATTTCCATTATATGTGTTAAGAAAGTACTTATAATTTCCCAGAGCATTATCCAAACCTTGTACAGAACAGTGTCTCTTTACATTTCATAATCTTTAGGGTATCTGGTAAGGAACTGTTTGCCCTTTCGTGAGGGTCCTTCTTTTCTTATTCTAGAGACCTGTACAATGAGGAATGTTTTTTGATGAAATTATTGAGAGTAATGAAAGGCACGGTTTTTAGTAAATCTTGAAGTTTATTTCAGTTTCCATTGAGATCTTTCATATTTTTTCTTTCTGTGTGAATTTTAAGGGGAAGAAGTAGACACTAGCCAAGTGGGAAATACTGTATAAATATATATTGGTATTAAGATAATCCTTAACCACTTCAGCTGCTTAAGAGTAAATAGAGGATGGAGGTGCTTTGTTTTTCTCTGTTGATGGAAAAATACATTGTGAAATTAATTTTCCTGGACCTTGAAGTTATTACAAAGGTTTTGCAGTATTGTTGGCCTAATTTAATTTCCAGCTTTCTGTTAGAAAAGAACATTCATCATTACGTGTGTGTTGTCTTCATTGCTTGCTAATCATGTTCTTCTGTCCATTGCTTAAAGTAACTTCATAATACGAGTGCGCTGTAAATTTTATTTCTCCTGTGCTATCTCTTTTAGTCAGTAATAACAGCAGTTGTGAATGATTTTACGGTACAAATTAATGTGAGAATATGGGATGAATAGTTCGCAAAAGATCTTACATTCTTATTTTTAAATTGAGCCTTTGCACAGGTGGTCCAGAAGTAGGAATTACATGCAGTGTCTTGTTTGCTCTTGAGGGAGTTTCCCTGAGTCTTCAAGTGTTGCTCGTGAGAGTGAGAATAATGGTATCTGGGCCTTATCTCACAAAGAAAGGAGGGATTGTGAATGCTAGTTTTCTTCATGCCTTTTGCACAAGGACGAGTTTTTCTGTAGAACAGACTTCCTTTTCTATGCAATGCAACGTGTGCTTTCATTAGATTAAGTTCCTCTTCCATGGTAGCCCATTGTGAGAGAATGTTGCTTTGTCAAAGGTTTTACATTTCTTCAATATTTATGTCAACTTTGTGGTATTGTAGTGACTGGTTTGTAATGAACTTGTGTTACATGTTCATGAATTATGAATATTTTTGAGCAGTGAACTAATTTTCACACTGTAAATGAAAATAGAAGGTTGAAGTTTAGTATTCTGTGATGCAAAATGGAATAAGTGTGTCTGTTGAAAGAAACTCTGCTAGTACTTCATTTCACAGTACTTTTTAAAATTTTTTGTCAATTTAAGTTTCATGGCAGATAGATTTATTCATGCACAGTAGCTACTTCTAAGCTATTTGCATAAAATTTTAGATCCAAAAGTTCTACTGTATTTGTATTTTGAGACATTAGAAGAATTCCTTCTTGTGTGAATGTTTTCATCTTGTATGGTTTAATGATCGTCCTTTTTGGTGCTTTTTTCACTTTGACTGAAGTGGAATAGTGTTTACACTAAGTTAGATTTCCTAAATGTTTCTCCTTACGCTGTGCTGCAGAGATGCAAACGGGGAAATCACTTTCAGGCCTCTTATTTCATTCTGAACATTCATTGATTTTTGATTTTGTCACGGTGCATAATAGTCTGATAGGATTATTGCAAGCCGATAAAAAGTGGCAGCATCCTTATTTTTGGAGTAAATCTTATATGACATCTTTAATGTTGAGAGTAAGTATTTTTTATGCTCTTTTTGTTTCTGTTTTCTTAAAGGTCACAAAGACAGAACTTGAGAAACTAAAATCTAGCTATAGACAACTAATAAAAGAAGTAAATTCTGCCAAAGAAAAGTATAAAGAAGCCGTGGCTAAAGGTATGACTGACTTTAGTTTATGTGCTCACTATTGCCTTTTTTCAAATGTAATGCAACTTTAGAGTGAAACGAGATAATGCTTTTATTTTGAACAACTTAATGAAGATGAAAATTCATTCAGAATCTTAAGAAAAGCTAGTTGTCATCAAGATAGCTTGTTGATACACTGAAAATGATAAAAATGAAAAAAAAGAAAAGTGGTAGTCCTTCATGACAAAAGAAAGATTACTTCTTTAAGCTCTTGAGTTATTCCTTTAGTGGATGCATTGCAGTGTAAAATTGCTCTTATGGACAGTATTAGTAGTGAAAATCAGGTTGCAGATCCTGATGTACATCATAGCTGCAGCCTCCTTGTGTCTTATGACCTATTATGGCTTGCTGAACAGCATCATTGATGCTGTTTGATGATAGCGTCATCAATTCTGATGACAGTAGAATAGATCTAAAACTTTTCAGCATTAAGGAGCAGGAGAAAAAAAATTTAAAAGTGATGTGTCCAAACTTCATAAATTTTGACTTCCAGTGAATTGTGTTAATGGTTAGGATGATGAAAGACTTTGCTATAGGATATTTTGAAATACCTTGTTAATAATTGGTCTCACTTGCCTGAGATTCTTTTTCGTTAAATGAAATTAATTGCATGATGGTGCATAAATACAATTCCAACTGCAGTGTTTTTATGTCATTCTGATTAACTGATCTAATACTTGTATAGAATATAACATCCAAAAGCTGTTTTTGAGACACTTACTGTGTATTTTCCTGCTTCCATTTAGTATTTGTTTTCCATTAATACAGTTCATGGTTGGTTGAACTTCCTCTACTGTTTTACTGTTTACTTAACAGACACTGAATATCAGAAAAACTGTTCTTCCCCCTAAGAATTTCAGTATTATTTTGCTACTACTGCACCTCAGACCATGGTATTGCTTCTGTATTACCTGTATGCAGCTAAAATGGTTGTGTATTTGCTGGTCAGCTGAGCTGTTTGAGTATTGTTAAGCCATGGTATTTTCACAGTGTTTCTGAGCCCTCAGGTTGTCAAAGTAGTTTGCAAGATGAACCAGTTAGGGAAGTCTTAAAATTATAGTATTTCATTATTCCAGGCATTAGTTGAATAGCAGCAGCTTACTCAAGTGATGTGCTATTAGGAGATAGTCTTTTTGTTAACATGAAAACTGGTTTGGTTTTTGAGTCTCTCAAGAATGATTGAAAGCAAGGGAAGGAATGCTGCGTACAGTAACAGTGGGAGGGCATAGCTGAATATTGGAAATAAGCTGAAAATATTTAGTTAAACAGAAAAATGAAAATTGTTGTCACTGACTCTCAGAAGAAACATGAGCCAGTTCATTTCTGCTTTTGGAAAATATGATTCTTGACAGACTCTGTTCCTCTGGAAAACCAACTCTTCATTACTCTTCATTACACTCTTCATTCAGTGTCTGACCCCTCCTGTCAAGAGCAGAAGAAAACAGCTACTCTGCAGGAAATACGATTTAGTCCTTGCTCCTGGGCTGGAGCTGCTAAGTCTGCAGAGTACACATGCAAGTTAGTCAACATCAAAGCAAGTCATAACAAAGGAATGACTTAGAAATTTCTGTTTTGCAATTGTAATCATTATGCAATTTGGTGACTGTATGGTTTATAGCAATACTTACAGTATTTCTACTAAGAAAATACTGAAACAACTACTGAGAGAGGTACATGCGTTTCTCTACCTAGGGAAGACAGTTCCTTTGAGTCGTTAAAAGCATACTTAGATTTTAAGCTGAACGCTTAGAGTGTTTAAGTGAAAAAGTGAAAGTGGCAAAATTGGGAATTATTGATAGTGATCTTCTTTAGAAGAAGTTGATTTTATGATTTTTTTAGCTCAGCTTTTTGGCTAACCTGTGTCATACTTTACACCAGCTAACAGGACAGTCATTTAGAACCAGCATGTTGATGCTTTAGAGAGTTACAGCTGCTTTCTTTTCTAACTAAAAATACAAAGAGAATCTGAGGAATGAGAATAAAAGTTAAGTGATGAATTATGACACCAGGTAATTACTAGCTGTGTTTCTAGTGGGGAATGGGAAGGTGACTGGAGGAGATTTTGCCTGGAGAAGGAGAAGCTATTTCACAGTGAGGAAAATGGAACTGCTTTCTGAAGGATGCAGGAATTTCATTATGCAAGGATTTGTGCTCTCCAGAGCGGAGAGAGGTGAAAGTGACAGAGATGGTGTGTCAGGAGTTCTGGGAAGCCCCCCTGCAGCATATCTTTTGCTCTTCCCTCTGGGAGAATAGTGGCACACCTGAGCAGATGATGCACTGCTAACTCCCACTTGCTTAGACTGCATTTTACTGCCCTGTTCTGGCTGCCAGTGTCTGCTGCCGTGTTGGTCAGAAATCGTCGAATCACAGGATCATTTGGGGTGAATTCCCTGCCATGGGCAGGGTTACCAGCTCCTAGATTATGCTCCTCAGGGTCCCATCCAGGCTAGCTGTGAAAATCTCCGGGGGTGGCTCATTCACAATTTATTGAGTAAAGCATGTCCACCTAACGTCTAACATAAATCTCCCCCCCTTTTAGTTAGAACAATTCCCCCTTGTCTTATCACTACTCAGACTGTAAAAAGTTGGTCTCTTGTTCATAAGCTCCCCTCAAGTACTGAAAGGCCACAATGAGGTCTTGCTAGAGCTTTCTCTCAAGTGAAGAAACCTGGCAGCCTAAGCTGTTCTTTGTAGAAGAAGTGCTCCTGCCTGTGGATCACCCTTGTGGCCCTCCTCTGGACCTGCTCCAATTGCTCCATGTCTTTCTTTTCTGAGCTCTCCAGACCTAAGGCCTCATGAAGACAGAGCAGAGGGGGGCAATCACCTCCATCACCTTCCGCATCAACCTCTTTTAATGCAGACCAGGATACTGTTGGCTTTCCAGGCTGTGTGTACACACAGCTGCTCATGTGAAGCTTGTCATCCACCAGAACTCCCCAAATTCTCGTCCACAAGGCTACCCTCAAAGAGTTTTTCTGCACACGTGTATATTGCCCTAACCCAGATGCAGTGCCTTGCACTTGACCTTGTTGAACCTTACTGAACCTCTTCTGTGCCTGCTTCTTAAGTTTGTATATGTCCTTTTGCATGGCATTCTTTCCATTCGTAATATCAACTGAACCACTCAGTTTAGTGCTGTCTGCAGTCCTGCAGAGGTCCCACTGTGTGTGTTGGTGATAAGGATGCTGAAGAACGCTGGTCTCAGGACAGACATCTGGGAGGCACCACTCATGACCAGCCTCCACCTGGGCATAGATCTGTTGACAACAGCTCTCTGGCTATGACCATCCAACCAGTTTCTTTTTCCACTGACTAGTCCAGGCTTCAAATCCATATCTTTCCAATTTAGAGATATGATGTGGTATGAGACCGTGTTAAAATTAGATGACACTGGTCACTCTTCCCTTTCCAATTGATGCTGTCATTCAATCTTAGAAGGGCACCAGATTTTTTAGGCACAACTTGCTGTCAGTGTAGCTCTGCTGGTTGTCCTGGACCACCTCCCTGCCTTGCATGTGCCTTAACAGATCTTCCAGGAGGATCTGTTCTATGATCTCTTCCCAGGCACAGAGGTGAGGATCAATGGCCTGTAGTTTCTTGGGTTTTCCTTTCTACCATTCTTAAAAACAGGAGTGATGTTTTCATTAGCGACATGATTTGCTGTTCTTTTGTGGACCAGTGATTACCGTGGGAGTCACAAATGTAGCTTGGCTGGTTGTGCTTGGGTGTGGAGATCTCTTTGTCAGGCAGTCTGATTGTTGCTTATCATTTGATTGATGAGCAGTTTTTGTCCTTTACAGTCCTTACTTCTGTCTATGATTTTATGGGTCATGAGAGAAGGGTAAAGTCACAGACTGAACTGATTCAGTGCTTCTGATGATGTATACTTACCAGCTGAGAATCTGCACAAATTCTTTCTAATAATCTCTTCTGGTTTTAAAACATTTGAATTGGAACATTTTGTAATAATGTGCTCGGAATGCACAGTGTGTTCATCTACAGAATTGAGCCAGTAGGGCATGTTGGGGTCATTTGGAGAAAAGCTTGAGAACTACTGAGCTATCTTTATATAGTGAAATAGATGCCCTTTGTAGTCTTTTGCATGTGTGCTGTACAGAAGAAAAATTGTCATCTTCTTACAGCAGTGTCCCATAGTGACAATTGCATATTGTACGTACACTTCTAAACCTGCAGTGATATTCTAACACAATGATGCTGAGTAACAGAGTAATTAAATAGAATGCAGCATATTGACTTAGCTGCTACAGGAAAATGCATCAAAACAAAATGTATGCCAGATGGAAAGACATTGTTTTTCCCAACCAGAGGTCACAAAGTTCTAAAAAGTTTCATAAATAATAAGTAAAGAATACAAACTGGAAACCGTAGAACAGTTGTTGACATTTCTCACTACAATTTGAGTCTCAGTTTTCCTACACCTTAAAAAAACAAAAAACAAAAACAAAAAAAAATATAAAAGGAAAGCATTAATTCTTAGACTAGCATTTATTTTTATAGCCGATTTTGGTATTTGGTGTTAAAATGTGAAACAATTTTGTATCAGGTAATCTTTGCAAGCTGAAATATTGCCAGTATTGCTGTGGTAGGTTCATACTGGATTTTAGTACAATATCATCTTTACACAACAATGTTTATAGTTTTACTGGAAATACATCTTGTGAAGATGTTTACTGCATTCTTGTTGCTAGTTAATTACTGACTGAATGTGGAAACTATTGTAACATTTTTAAGTAACAGAATGGCTCCAAAATAAACAGTATAGAGATTTAGTATATTATTTCATTATTTCATTTTGTGCTGCTCCTGTATGGTGGAATATCACATATGAGATTTCTCTAGGCTGGCTTATGTTCCCTGACAATGTTGTGATTTAGGGGAGACTGGAAACCTAGCACACTACAGAGCATTGCATCAGATGAAAGAACGATTTTTGAAACCTGCAACTCTTG